AAAAAAAAAAAAAAAAAAAAAAAAAAAAAAAAAAAAAAAAAAAAAAAAAAAAAAAAATCCGGTGAAGTAAATAAAGTCTCCCGGTTAATAAATAATAATGAGCGAAATGCTAGAAAAAATAATAATAGCGTAAAGCTATAAAAAAATGATGGGAGAAAATAGCGAAAAGCTATAAAAAAAACGAGTGAAATGCTTGGAAGAAAAAAAAAATTTAAAAAAATATAATGAGCAAAAATTTAAGTTAATAAATAAACAGCATTAATCAACTAGTGGTAATTGTTCATCGAATTCTATCACAGGTAAAATTCTGGAAGGGGAGTAATGTGGCGTAACTACCACTATAAATATTAAATATCAATTCACTAGTATATAAGACATGTTAACTCGATTCTATCTTGAGGTACCTTTTGATAGATGAAGGTTGACATAGTCTAAGATTAATTTCCCACACACTTACTGTTGCCAAGGCCAGAAATATAAATAGCAACCCTCCTAATAAAAATTTTGAATGGCGAACATAACATTCGTTTTGAGTGAGGTATACTGGTGAGGTATACTGTACTTATGTATAAATTTAAACTATATTAAATACTGTTTTATAAAGATTATTTTAAAAATAATTATTAATATTATGATATTATACTATGTAAAAATATTTTTAGAGTGTAAAGACTATAAGTATTTCTAAACATATATTTTGTATTTTAACTTTTACTATTATAAGAATTAAAATAAAATTTTTGTAATTTCTATCATTTCATCCTTTGTTGTTTTCTTTAAGCATGTTTAGTTTAAAAGTGGATGTGAAACATTAATTCTCTGAGCTTTCTGTAAAACTCAGAAATGAAAATTATCTATCTACATACTTTTGTTCATTTCCATTATATTCATCAACCAGCTGCTTGAAATTGCTTGTTAATTCTCCTACTCATACACACAGTGGTTATATTATGGTTGTGGGTATATCACAGCGGTCCTATCAATCTTGGCAATTCAAAAAAAAAAACTGCTTCAGGCATTTTTTGCATATAAAAAAAAAACACTTAAAAAAGGTTTTTTCCTCTTATTCTTCAAGAACTGTAAACATTCCATAATGCCACTTAAGAAATAAAAAAAATTGCATTGCAAAATTGTGCTGAGGTAAAAAAATCTTTGTTCAAGGCCGATTTGCTTAGGGAATTAAAATTATGCTTTATACTATTTAAAAAATGGTGAAAAATCACGCAATTAATTTGAAACAAAGAAAAACGAAATATTCGCCCCATTTTTGTACAAATTTTATGTTTATATCTATAATAGATTATCGATATATAGTGGAAGGTGTATAGAAAGACAAGTAAAAATGGAATTTTCTAAATTGTAATGCCAAATATCTAAAAAGCATCCTACAAAAATAAGAGAGGCTTTGTTTTGAAGAAAAAAGTGTGAACTTTACTATGAAAAAAAATCTAGGAAGCTCAATTTGAATGTAATAATCTTCAATATACATAAGCATTGCAAAAATCAATGGAAAATTCGTCTTTCTAAAAAAATAAATCAATCTGGTTTCTCAGTTTTACCCATCTGGTCATCATACACCTTCGTATTAAATATTGTAACTGCAAAACAAAATTTTGTACCCAAAACAATTTGTATACGAGCACAATCAGACACATACCACTACACTATTTGTTCATAATTAAATAAGTATTTTTTTTTCCGAACATATAAAGAGTGTGTATTGCCTGATTGCAATGGCATGGAAAATCATTTTAAAAACCCATAAAGAAAATTCAGTTGCATTTTTTATTTAGCTGATGTATCTGCTGGATTTTATAATCTATGTTATCGTTAAAATACAAATCTGAAGTAACAAAATTGTAAGAATTGAAGACAAAAACTCTTTAAATATTTCTTTGTGTTCGGGACACGCTGATAATTAATGTAATCTATTAAAATTTAATTCACTAACCTATCACTCTTTTAAATTACAAACAGTCTTTCCTTAATTTAAATTGGTGGTTTTCTTTCAAGGGTTTTATAATTTCCTTCTGAGGCAAATATTCTTTATCAAGAATAAATATGTGTAAGCAACTTCAATTGCACACCAAAGCACCCTGTCCTTTGCTTGTTTTGCACTATAATTGCTGCAAAATCATTGTTGTTTTGCTTCATGTTGATTAAAAGATTCCTAAATTTTTTAATTGTAGTGTTTTGTAGATTAAGTTTCTAATTCCATAAGTATAAAATGTAAATATAATCATTATCATTGTAATTTTCATCACAAACTTGTTTTTTTTTTTTTTAATTCTTAATTAATATTTGGTTACTAAAATACTTACCCAAGAGATTATTTAGTAACAATGCTAAAAATTAATTCAAAATATTGCTTTAGAATTTTAAATAGTACCTAATTTTGTGCTCAATACTTTAATTGCATATGTTGACAGGAAACAATTCTTCATAAAGCTTATTAAAAAAGTAAATATAACTTGCTTATGGATTGTAAAACGCTAACTAAAAATTAATCTTTTAATTTGAGTCAAAACTATATCTTTGCCAGTCAAGCTTTATTCTTCTGTTGTCTTTTAACCTAATTATCCTTATTATTATCCTGTTTCATTATGAACAGGTGATAAACCCTCCTTTACAAAGATTTGTTTTGCAATTTAAATTAAATAATAACATATAAATTAAACAATATATAAAAACAATGCTACCTTGTCAACATTACAAATTTATGAAATGTTACTGTATATAAAAAATCATTTTTTGCCAGAATAAATAATATATGTTAAGGCTTAAAAAAAATACATGATTTATCTGGAATACATACTTTAAAAGGTTTGACAAGTTATCTTATATTTTTATTCCGATAACTTAATTCTCCTTATAAGCATTAATGAATAAAAAGTAATTTTAAAATGATTCCACAAAGTATTTTATTTTTATTCTTATTTGATTTGAATTATTAAATTTTAATAGATGGAAAACATTTTAGAACATGCCTCTATCAAGGAAACTTTCCTGAAAGTAAAAATAATTAATGATTTTTCCCCCCTTGTGAATTATTTACTTTTTTGCATATAATAAATTATTCTGTTACAAGATTCAATCCTGCTTTAACATTAATTAATTGCAAACATAACATCATTGTTTATTTGTACAATACAAATGTATGAACATTTAGTAAAGAAAAAAAAAAACATTTTAAATATATTTCGTTATGCAAAAAAACTATTCTTACCTAGGCGGAAAGCTTGCATTTTAGAGAAAAGAATATATAAATATATTACTGAATTTCTCTTTTCTAATTTTTTATATCTTAATCACTCTTTAACAAAACTTGCAGTGTTACAAATTTTGTTAAAAGAGGGATATTATTCAACAATCTCCTTCCTGCACCCAAACAACTTGAATTTATTAACATAATACTTTGAATTCTTTATCTATAGCCTGAGTCTTTTAATGCCTGTATGGAGCAGGTCAATATAAAGCTTTGATTCTAAAACCTGTTTTTTTTTAATGGTACTACCTTGTAATTTATTTGCTATTGGAATGTATAGCGTCAAAGTATCTAAAGGAAAGCAGTCACTTAAATTGAAATAGATAAACTAGTCAATGGTAGACATGAAACATCACTTAAGGAACAAACACAAAACGTAATATACGAAGCAATCTCCAGGGCAAGACATCAAACATTTTTTAAAAAGTTAATTACAATTACAAGAACCAGACAGTAACATCATTATGATGACAGTTGACATTACTGGGTACCATGGAGGCAGATGTCCCAAATCTATTTTTGTCTATCAAGCAAATATTAATAAATACAAATATCACAGGCTCTGCATATAAACCTTAGAATTTTTCGTGTGGTTTTGAAGATCAATTCAGAGGTTTCTGTTATTGGGATTGATACCAACATGGGTAATTCTCCGATGCATTTTTGAATTTTGTTCCCTCTTCTCAACTAACTTTTGATAAATAGATTATAATTTAATAACACGTTACTTTTAATAAAAGTGGCTGGCTTTGTTTTTAATAGATGGCAATTAAACTAACTATGGCACAAAATAACTTCAAACTTCTACAAATTTTTCACAAAAATTTAGAAGACTAATGTGTTTGCAACATTGGCTTATAATGACTTACACTAAGTTATTTAAACTTTCAACAAGAGAATTGATAAATCAATCCTCATACGAATTAACAGGTCAGAAAATATAGCATTTGAGAAATGTTGAAATTATCTTGGAACAGTGGAATGTTGGTAACAAGATTCCACTTGATTGAATAAGATTACTCCACCATATGAAACATTTGCTGTAAACATCAAAGTGCAACAACTACAACTCTAAGAAAATCAGTAAATGATTTCTAAATAAATTGCCAGTACCTGACCTCAATCTTTATCAATCCATGGATTTAAAACTTTATTTGATTAGTTTTTAAAATTTTTTTTAATGTTTAACACAGTCTGGTTATTTTTCAACATCATTAAAAATAGTAAACTAAAAAATAAGTAAGAGAGGAAAGTTGTGAGAAAAAGGAAAATTGCAAATCTGAGAAGTGATAAATCAAGAAGAATCTCATGCCTCTAACACATTCTATCTTTCTGATAAGGCTGAATGTTACATGTTATGTAATTTTTAGAAAAAGATGGTGATAAATTTTAAGAGCAATGCTTGCTGTATCTCTCTAACTCTAAGCAACAATGTATGTTTAACTTGTTTCCAAAAATAGTAGAGAGTAAATACCCACCATCTAAAATAAATTTATTATATATCTGTGTATTTATAAATAAAGTTTATTAATGATAATTAAGTAGAGATGATTAAAAGCAAGTTCAATATTTTTACTCTTTGGTCATATCCCTCTGATGGATGAGTTTGGTAATGATGGAAAAGAACTAGTTGTAGAATTGGAGTAACAATTAAGATTTTTATGAAAAACATCACACATGATTTTGCACCTTTAAACCCCTTCCTTCTCGCTCCCGTGAAAATGTCGGGGTGAGATTTCGTCCACTATTTCTCGCTCCCGTGATATTGACGGGCTGGAGTGTTCAGTAGTAACGCGCCAATAAGAATAAAACTAATTAATTTCTTTGGCCCGGAAAACATTGTATATTTCTCATTTTACACACCTGATGGCAGTACCAGGATGCTTTTAAGGTAATTGTAGATAGTTAGTTTATTTTAAACTAGTTGCAGCCCTAATCAAATACAAAAGCCAAAAAAATAGGCACTTTTATGACCGTTTTCTTGAAAATTAACTGATCGTTAAGGGGTTAAATCACAATATTTTAAGCGTATAAAAATATTTTTCATTCATTGTTAGCTAGCCCACAAAAAAAAATATGAGCCATTAAAAGAAAATTAAATTACACCTTATTGGATTAATTACAGATTTAAATTTTTTGGAAGATATGTTTTTTTAACCTCCTCCCCAACTCAATAATGAAATAAAACTGTGATTACAATAATGAAAAACATCTTGGCACTTTCAGTAAACCTTGCTTTGACTTTTCTAAAACATAAAAGAAAACCTAAACTTGGTGAAATAAATTATGAAATTTTCTTAACAAAGCAAATAATGATTATGAGAGTAGTGGAGAGGGTATACAAGTGGAACTGTGTACCCTTACTGGTTTTTCAATAAAATCTCAGTTGCAAAGTTTAATTTATTGTAGAATTCGATATACTTATTTTTTCCTTTAAAGTTGGTTGAAAAATGAAAGTTTTGTGAACAGTTTCTTTTCTTGTTGCCGTAATACTGTATAAGTATATTTGACACAAAATACCGAACTAACCTGCCAAGGATCCATATCCTGAATTCCTAGAATCTATTTAACTGAATTTAAGTAGGTCCTCTTAATTTTACATCAAATACAGTTAGAAAGAAAAATTTTATAGCATTTCTACATACTATTTAAAAAAAAAAGGAAGAAAAAGCATATAAAATATCAGAATTTTAGTATCCTCCCATTGATCTTAACACTGTTAATGATTAAACAGCCCAGCATAACTTTTTTCCCCTCAACTATGTCTGGTATGTCAATTTCTGAGACTCTGAAAGAGAAATTAGTTACCTCAATAGATCATTTAATTGAATTACGACATAGTAAACTTTTTGGTTTAAGTCAAGATCCACATAGAGATAAATTAAAAATCTCAATATTAGATCTTTTTTTTTTTCAACTCCATAACCAATTGACCATGATTAAAACAGCCACCATCTGAAAACTTTTAATTTATGCTATCAATAGTGGTGACTAAGGAATTTCAGAATCCAAAAAATAAAAAATTTTTAATAAAAAATTAGCACACATACACATTTTGACATTTCATTATAGAGTCATGTACATGTTTAGCATAAATATTGCAAATCAATGTAATGTCTTAAGTGAAATGACATTGACAATACAAAACTTAAATACCTTTTTATTGCAAAGTTTTTCAGATATAATATACATAACATAAATTTATTAACTTAATCTTAGAACATTAGTGTAACATAATGTTTGTAACATTAGTGTTACAAACATTAGTATAAACTTAGAACATTAGTGTTTAAAAACAAGTATCTCACGAGGATGTGAAATAATTTTTCGTATCCAAAAATACAACTTGATAAAAAAAAATTTTATTGTAAAATTAACAATCCAAGATTTTTTTACAACTTTAAAAATGTTTTCTTCAAAAAAATTTATTGTAGTTAAGCATTGACCATTTCTTATTACTAAACCATATTCTAACAAACTAGTCTTGTGACAGCCTTATTTATAATTTAACAGTCATTTCATGACATATACTCAAAATACAAGCTTGCAAAAATCTTAAATTTTATAATAATAAAATTTAAACAAAAAACTATGTATGTACATTACACAATTTGGTATATCAAAGTAAATATGTCAGGAACAAAATACAATCTTGTATGATTAGGAGAAATTATAAGAAATATATTATTAAATTTTATGCCTATATTACACAAAAAAGGGGGGAAATACAAAATATCACCGAAAATTTTATTTAAAAACATAAATCAACTTAATTCAAATCCTGCTCCAGATTCTATTGCATACACCAATTTTATTTTAAGCAGTTCTTCAGTCTCAAACTCAGGTAACTTTAAAAGGTTCATACAAGTAGATGCTGTGGGCAGTCTATCCTCTCTACCAGCATTTTGAATACAGAATGGAGGTGAAAGTTCCTTAAATCCTAAAAGAGGGGCATGTGAGCAACTGGTGACAAATTTTAATAGCTGCCTTTTTTGGCGTTCATCAAAACCTTCTACAACCTTCCAGAAGGCACAGATGACAGGATGAGTATCAGAATAACCACCTGCATAAGTAGTATGGTTTTTTAGGTCTTCAATATCGATTGGTGTTTGTGCCCCCGAAATCAAGATTTGTAGCTCATTGGGGTCGAACATGTAAAGCCATTCAATATCAATTACATTAGCCAATCCTTCTTTAAATGCTTGGCATTGAGCCTTGATCTGACGATTCAACTTGAAATCTGCCATTAAATGAATGTAGTTAATACGATTACTTTCGGTTACGGGAATATTAGCACCACCAGGTTTCAGCTCAACTACTTCATTTTCACCAAATTCACTATTCATGACAGTAAAATCTAAACCTAAATCTGATACATCACCATCGTAAGTTTTCAAGTACAATAAATTCCGATACATTACGGGATCTAATGATGCCAGGTGATGAATGTCGACATCTGAAGTATGCCGGGATAAAATCTTTGTAAGGAAGAAGGCTGCAAGAGGTAGCTCCACCAACATATTTTCATAAATTGCCTTTCCCAGCATTCTACCGATGAAGAAATAATGTCTTGCAAAATCAGGCATGACACGTTGCACATTTGGATTTGGATACAGTAGACCATCATGAGTAGTTTTAAAAAAACCTCTATTTGGGTCAAAACAAGTTTTTAGAAGTTCATGCATAAATTCACGAAACAAGCCACCACCATCAATGCCTACTTCATCTAAACCAACTGCATTTACTAATTGAACCAGAATTCTCATTTTGATATTAGGTTCACTTTGAAGAGACAGTGCACTAGAGGCATCCTCATATATAAAATTACGACGTATAGTAACTCTAATAAGTGGACCCATTTGAAAATTTAACAGTTCTCCTTGATTATCATGCTTATCTTTCACGATCAGGGATTGAAATATTTTAAAACGATCATGAAATCTAATAGCAAAAGGAAATTCTCTAAGAATCGCAAGCTGCCGAGCCTCGACAGCGGATGGGGGTGGTCCCTCTTCTTCCAGTTGTTCTCGAGTTAAATTTTGTAATCCTACAAATGGCTCATAACTTGGCCCTCTTCTTTTGGTAAAATACATTTCTGCAGCTCTGTCCATGAAAACTGGAAATTGTTTAGCAATCCAGGTTCCATCGGGACAAAATTTTCTTCGACAGTCTCTGGAATACAGCTGGCGCAACAAGGTTACAACAGCTTTAAATAATTGGTTCCAGCGATAGATCTCAAAATTGTCCGAACTTTTGTCCATTCTTTTTGATCCAACACTTCTCATGGCATTCACATAATCATTAGTAAAAGGTGCTTTTTTATCAGGATAAGCCAACTCAATGAGACCCATACAAACATCTTTCAAGGTGGCGCTGATAGAAGCAAGTTCGACTAAATTAAAAGGCATCATTTTAACTCCACTATTATCTCTACTTTGATCGTAAAACTCAAAGTCATGCAAGGTCGAGAGAAGATGATTCAGAAGAGAACAAAACACAATGAGTTGTGGAAGGAACATTTCTTGATCATCAGAGCTAAAAGTCATTCCTTGATTAATAATTTGTAACAGTGGTGTAGTAGAACCAAAGACAGATGGTACACTAGCACTAACTACAGATCTCCATAACATTCTAAAGAATGAGGGTTTAAAAGCTAGAGTGTAAAGTAGGCGATAGTTATGTATTGCCAATTGTTCCTGACTTAATAATAATTGGCATAAGCTACAAATAGAAACAACACATTGATTAAATGTTTTTTCATTTTGTAATATTGACATTATCATATTGACATGGTCAATTTCATTGATCATACTAATGATTTCAGTTAAGAGTTTAAAACTGGGAGCATCATTTTCAGCATACATTTCACCATCTTCAGAACTGCAATCACTAATTGTTACATTTTCTCTCCATTGTGAGATAGATTGCAGCAAAAACTGAACACAAGTTAAGTATTCCGCACATTGCAACTCTGTTAACAGTCTCGCTTGCTTCGATATAAGATAAACAAACGTATAAAGCAAACTAGGTGTTGCGCGAAAATTGAAAGCAAGATTGTCTGGGTATATTGCAGTCAGTATGGTATCAATGGTAATTACATCATGTTTACAAGCAAATGCTGGAAGTAAAAAACATGTTATCTGTGGAGATGGATCTTGAGTGAAGATGTCTTGAAGTAGTGTTTGAAAGAAATAAGATTTCTTCTCAGTTTTTAAGATCAGGGGTCTAGTGAAAAGGTCTAATAAGGAACTTGCAAGAGGAGTAGGTGGTCTTGCAGATATCAATAATGAATCTGGAACATTGTTATCCAAAACTAACCGTAATAAAGCATAATAGCCTTTCCTTATCAGGAAATCCCAGATTTTTCCTAAAATATGGGATTTAAAGTCAGGTGATAGTGAATTAAAACCACTAGCTGTCATGCAATTCTGATTAATATTATCATACAATTCAGAAGAAGTGAAAACTTCAATAAATCGTAAGGATAAAGATATATTTGAATTTGGTTTGACACAGTTTTTTAAATACTTTACATTTAACCATAAGAGTTTTTGTAATTTAAAAAGCCAACGTTCTGGTTGAATAAAAAATACACAAGCAAAATTAGAAGCATCCTTTAGAAATGTTTGGTTGATAGCTACAAGACGAGAACTATCCTGAAGTTCATCATAGAAATGCAATAGTTTTCCCACTTGATCATGCAGTAAATCTGAGTTCAACAGTATGTTTTGATCTGCGTGTTTTGATATTTCATCAAATTCATTTCTGAGTTTCCGTTTCACTAGTTGCCTGGACAATGATCCACGCACAAACGCTTGAATTATCGTGGCTGATTGTATAAGCCTACGCTTTTCTTCTCTTTGTGATCTTTCAGCTTGCGCTAGGTGCAGTAGCTCTTCGCGAGCTACCTTTCGGCTAGCGCCTCCTAAAGATTGCTGGGGACGTCTTCGAAATTCTCCTTCAAAACTATACATGACTCCAAAAAATATAACTACAGCGACAACAATCACAATTTCAGTGAAATCAAACAGTCATTTGTATATTTTTTTGTTAATTTTTATATATGTAACTGAGGAATATTTTGTTTTAAGAACCAATTTCAACAGTTCTGGAAAGAAGTGAATCAAAACAAAACATTATTTATAATTCTCAGCTGTTGCACCTATAAAAAAGCAAATGTCATGTTTATTTTTTTTTATTATATATCATTTATTTATTGTGTTGCCATTACTTAGAAAAATAATGTCTTCACAAAAAATTAATCGATTCATATTGGACAATTTGTACAGTATTTTGAATATTTAATAACAGCTTTAAGTAACAACAGTCTTTAGTATCTGTTACTCTATACTCCTTAGGGTCTGTAACTGTGATTATTGTGCTACTTCGAAGATTCATGTTAGTGGTGCCATCTAACATCTTTTTGAGCACTAAATGTAACTAGACTTTAGATATAGAAGATCTTTTATAAAACGCTGCTCTACAAAAAAATTAAAATGTGCTTCTAAAACAAATCTTTGAGCTTTATTCGTCAAGAAATATTTATGCTTTATAACGTATTAAGTTTATCAATTGAATGTCTTTATTTTTATTTTTCTGCACTTCTTTTACTGTGTATGATAGCATCATCTCTTACTTTTATATGTAATTTTAAAACTTTTTTAATGTAATTTTAAAAGCAATGATATTTTTTATGAATATATTTTTTTTTTGCTCCTAATCATCATATTTAGATAAAAAAGAAAAGTTTTTAAAAAAAACCTATCTTAGCGGATTTTAAACAATTTAGTATTTTAGTTTCCTTTTGTGCTTTTTTTAATGACGAAAAACTTAACCCAAGTGTTTCAAAACCTAAAATTTCAACCATTTTTATAATTTTTGAAAAAGGTGTGAATTTAGAACACTGATAAAACTTTTAATAATAGAGTGGAAAGTTAAAGGAATATAGTATTAATTGAATGTGGCAATTATTATTATGAATCCGTCTCTCACTATAAATTATAAAATTCTGATAAATTTATTTGTGACTCGAAATTTACAATTTTCATTTTGTTATTATCATATTTGAAGGATTAAATTTTCCCATCGGAAAAAAGGTCTAATTTTATTAAAAATAGTATTCTAGCAGAGCGTGGTTTCGATCCACGGACCTCTGGGTTATGGGCCCAGCACGCTTCCACTGCGCCACTCTGCTACAAGAACACAAATGTTAATTAAAGTCTATAAATACAAATCTAAAGATAACACAGGGAATAGAACTGATTTTACACAAAAAGTTTTTTCGTAGAAAAGATTTTAATTTCTTTTTCTTTTCAATTTCATTATTAATTTTTAAATTATTCAATTTTAGTAACAAAAGTTTTTACCTTTTTCAAGCCTCTTAAATAAAGCTTTCTACAATATAACTTACTTTCGATTTCAGATCATGGTAAGATTTTTTTTTCCTCTTTCTTTAGAATTCTTATTGTGAAAATAAAAATTTAATGTAACAGTTATCAAAATTTATTTATCCGATGTATTTCAAAAACATTTAGACATTTGTCAAGTAAACAACAATAATAATAACAGCGACAAAAAAGTTTTGGGAATGTTTTTTAATTATCTTTTAATACCTGGAACTAGAACTAATAACACAATTAATATACAGATTAAGTAAAACTTGAAATTCCAAAATAAATAAATAAAAGTCGACGGGGGGGGGCACAATTATTCTATGTATATAAATTAATTTCACAAGGAGTTGGAAAAAATTAAATAAAAATTTTTTGTAAGAATAATGTTTTGTATTTATCAAAAAAGGAAGGAAAAAAAAATACTTGACAAATATTTAAATCTTGCCTCCCTTGAGATTCAACTATAGATTCTCTTAAGAATTTAATGAATGAGAACATTGTGAAACAATGACAAGGCTATTTTTTTAATTTTTTTTTAATATTTTTAAAAATGAAAAACGGTGGCAGAATGCTATCATTTTTAATCAATTTTAAGAAAGGCCGAAAAGTGGATCTAAATAGAAAAGCAATTTTCTTCATTATGTATTTTTTTTTAAAAAAAAATTCGATATTATATATCCAATCCCTACATGAAACTCAATTCAGTAAGCTTGAGCCAGCTATAGCCATTTTAGAAAGAAGAAAAAATTATTTCACGGAAATTGGATTACTATATTTTTGCTATATTTGTAATTTTTTTTTTTATTTTATAATTTAATAGATTATGCAATCCCATTCAGCTCATAAGCATAGGCGTAGCGTCGAGGAAAATAGGAGGGGGGCATTATTTCATTTAAGATTAGTCAAAATAATTTTGAATTGTAAGAAGCACAATTTCCTACACTATTTTAAAGTATACAATTTTCTAAAGGAGAATACAAAATGTGAGCGATATCTGTCAAATAGTTCGTGAAATACTGAATTTTAAAAATACGACTTACTTAAAATTCGTTTTATGATGAAGTTAAAGACTGCATTCGCTCATTTTTTTTTTTTTTAATTACATTCCTTAAAATGATGTAAATACATTTTATACCTTTCAATTCAACACTTTTCGGACTGTTAGAGTCTTCTGGGTTTCGCATAAACGGGTTGTCCGAAAGTCTCAATATAGTGATAAACCAGCGACTCGGAGTTAGTTTATTTACTATTGAAGGGTTTGTCAACGATTGAAATTCCTTAAAAATTTGATGAAAAGGTGAATCATTGAGATTGAGGACTGGAATAATTTCTGTAATACGAGTTAATTTGTTTGAGGCAGAGCCGTTTTTAAGGATGGGCCCTGGCCCAGGGCCCCGAGTTCTGATGGGGCCCCGTAAAGTCTGAAATCTTATTGCATAATTTTTTTTTTTAAAATTCTAACTCATTTATGATTTATAACTCAAGAGGGCCCCTAGATCCCACTTTTACTTTTTTTAAAGTTTTATTTAGCGATTTATTAAGATTATTTTTTTCTTTTTTACATAGTCGGATGCTTTTCAAAATCTAATCGAAGTGTTTACAAATATAAAATAATTGTTATTCTTCACTTTTCTAACCAAAAGAGCAATAAAACGCTTTTTCTACTGATGAAAATATCCCCACTTTCGTAGCTACCACCCACAGAGTTGTTAAATAGCCTCCTCACTTTACACTGTGAGAATATGTTTTTAGCTTCTTGATATTGCCTAGGGGCTCTTTTCTCCTAACTTCGGAAATATCAGATATCCACAGAAACACCCTTTTGTTTGATTTCTGGTCATAAATTTCTAAGAAGAAAACATTTCTAGGGCTGTAGATAGGGGGAGGGTCTTGTTAGAATCTGTCTTGAGATTTCCATACTGTCCTTAAATTGGGACTCGTTCAATTCGAATTTTTCTCTCTTACAAAATTTAGAAGATATTTTTTCTAATTTATTATAAAAGCTTTTCTTTCCTTTAATCATCCTAAATGTTTCAACTAGCATAATTGTTTACTTTATTTAATTATTGTAGTTGATTTAATTCTGTTATTTTTCAAATCAATCGTAAGAGAATGAAATAGGAATTTCTATATCAACTTTTTGTAGGATATTAAGAAGACATAAATCTTTCACATGGAGGTAAGCAAATGTTTCTATTAAATCAATTTTGGTAAATCAATCAAAACGTGAAAGATTTGAGCAGTTTTTTATATATACATTGAGATTTTTTTGTTTTGTTTATTTATTTAAATGGCGGGCCACTATTCAATTCCCTCTTTGACTGGCCTGTTTGCCAAAACTCTTGATTTGGTCTGTTCCGGATAAAATTGATATAACAAATGTAATTTAATTTTAATTTTACTTACTGCTAATAGACAGAAACAACATATGATTTTGTTTAATAAAGCATTGAAATCAAATGATCATCAGCTAAAAAAATGTTACAACATGAGAAAAAAATTGTCTAAAACTCCTGTATGATCAAATTTTCCATGTTTCCCCTAAATATGAAATATGTTTAATTTGTAATATTATAGTTCGTACACGAAATTAATTAATTTAGTTAGCTTACGATTTTATTGTTTATTGATCATTCTATTTTTAACTCCTTTTTGTTGTTATTATGTGTTTAAAGTTAATAAGGCTTCTCAATTTTTTCATTAATAAGGCTTTTAAATTTCCTAATCAAAGTCGAAGCAATTTCTTAAAGTTATAAATCGAAACTATATATAAAAATTTGACAGCTTTGTTTTTATTTTAACCGTGTGCATTTAATTTAATGAAATAAAAATAAATAAAGAAGTGGAAAAAATGTAAATAAATGACTGAATAAAAAAAAAACTTCGTTGTCATATCATCTTTTGAATAATTTGAGTATTAATAAGTTATATAAAAATAAGCAAATTTTTAGTTTAAAAGGTAAAAAAAAAATTTGATTTGTTTAAAAGGTAATTATGCTCCATCATTCGATCATGAGACTATTTAATATCTGTTCCTAAGGATCAGAATTCTTTTTCATTTTACTTTATTGTAAAAATGATATATACTTAATATTTTCATGTGATATGCTGCAGTTTTAAATACCTAAGAGATGATTGAAATTGTCAATTCAAAAATCAATTAATATTTAAACAATTAATACGTAAAAAAATAATTGTCGCAAGCAAATTAATATTAAGTAAGAACGAAACAAAAATGATATCAATATATGCTGAATCACTAGTGAGACAGGTGGGATGAACGACATCGAAACCAATTTGATTGAATAGTAAAACTAGAAGGTGTTTCTAAAATCCGGAAATCAATCAAGCTTCAATTTTTTTTTTTTTTTTTTGTCACGAAATTTATCAGGGGCTATTCGTTAGATTTCAATATGGGTTATGTTTTTTCTTAGATTAAATATTAAGCATTAACAAATATTTGTCTCTTAAAACCTTTCACTCTATAATAATTATTAATTCTATATTCATTCTACAATAATCTTATAATAATTATTCTATAATTGTAATTCTAAAACTAATTGCTAATTGATATAAAGCTTTAGTGTGTTCCATTGATATATTAAATCAGGGCTCGAAAAACAGCTCGTCCTCGACGGTCAAAAATTCTCCGCGGACAACGAATTTCTCGAATCCGACGTCCGCTCGGACGGCCATTTTCCCGTTAATGTTCGTGATAAATTTTCAATTTTTGTTATGTTACAAGAGTCTTGTAAGTTACAAGGCAGCAAAATGACCCACAATACAGCAACATAGTGCGCATATATTGATGTTTTCTCTGTCTTCCCAGGCAGAGAAAACATCAATATATTCTATTCTGCAGCGGTTGAAAGGGGCTTTGCAGCAATAAACTTACAAAAAAACACAATACGTACTGGTCTTAAACAAGAAGCTTTAAAAACAATTATGAACATCTACCTAAATGGAAAACCCCTTTCAGATTTCTGTTCAGAAACCTCTGTAAATCATTGGCTTGATTGTGGAACTGGCAAACGTCATATTTGATTCATTTAAAAAACGCAGTACCCTCGGATAACTTGACATTCCAGATAACTTGACCCTTGTCATTTAAATTATTTCATAAAAGAAATACTAGGTTACTATTAGTAACCTAGTATTTCTTTTATTACTGTATAATGTAATCCTAGTAACGACTAATTCATTGTGCAATTTATATAAATGTTTGTAATAAATAGGAGAAAATTATATTTTTATTTATTTAAAAGCGACGGGTTAGTTTCAACGGAGGACGGGTGCATTGTTGGACAAGCCGTCCTCGGGGACGGGTAAAATTTCTGAGTTTTTTCGAGCCCTGTTTTAAATGTCTTCCATCGGTGGAACCCCGACATTACAATTAAAGTTTATTAAGGTAATTACGAATATTATAACCTAAAAACAGGCTATTTTTAAAATATTTAATTCGAGGAATGTAGGTTTTTCATCGTGTTATCATTTTCAATCTTAAATGAGGTTTTATATACGAGAGTTAAATTTGCAGTTCTTGTGTTATATCTAGTTTTGAATTTATTTTTGGTGCATATACATAAGTTGAAAATGAATAAGATAAGCCGAATTATGGTTTACTTCTAAATGAACTGAAGATACTTGTTATAAACGTTAAAAATGGTAATTTGGAAAGCATTTTTCAAGAATGTCAAGTATCCAAATGACTTAATTTATTAAATTTTAAAAAAAAATAAAAAAATATCCGCAAGGCAGGTGTGTATATTTGGGGCTGATGATTATGAAATTTAACACAAAACTGTGAGATCATGGGTTCTATTCCAGCTGATGACAGTTTTTAATTATTATTTCTTAATACCGAAAAATGCTTTTCTTATTTTTTTAAGTACGCATGTTAATAACTAATAACTTTACAATTATTTAAAAAATTGGAAGGCTCCGCTATCTGTTCATTTTGCTCACTAACCCTCGTTGTTGCTTCTGCATTCATTGCAGGTTAAGAGGAAAAACGGTTTATTACCTTTTTTTTCTACAAAAATTATGATTGAATTACCATTTACATTTTGAAGATCATTAAATTTAAGCAAATCAGTAAAATTGGTACCAATCCAAAAATTGGAAAATTGGTACCTGTCGCAGAGTTATTACTCAATAAAGTTGGACTCAAGGGATAGAGCATTCTCCTCCGAATGAGGTACACCGAGTTCGAATCCCAGTGATGACTGATCGATATGAATTCCACACCCGGCTTTTACCGATCACAGTGCTGACGTGAAATATTCTCAGTGGTCGGTGGATCATGGATTAGAGTTCCCTTGGTATCAGACTAACCGTGGGAGAACTTCGTGGAGTTGATGTCCATATAACTCAAATGCGGGCTAGTTCCATCAAAAATTTCTTCCACTACTTGATCCTGGAGTTCTCTTGTCTGCTGGATTGGGTTCAAAATTACAAGGCTACGGACTTAAACATTAGTAGTAGTAAACTCGAAATCGGGTGGCCTGCTCAATGACTGTTACAAAATAAACTAATAATTTGACCACGATAGCTTGGTTGATGGTAGGGCTATGGACTCGTGCTCGTGAGAATGGGAGTTCGAATTGAGCCGGCCGAATAATACCCAAGTATAAAATAGTGACTGGTGCATGTTAAATCTGTCGGGGTCATAAATTCCTCCAAGTTTTCTTAACAATTCAATGCCTCTGGGTACTGATTCCTTACCAGGAGTTTCCTTGCTTTCTGGATTGGTTTTAAAATTTTAAGGCTACGTAGTTAAACATTGACTCAAAATTGAGTCAGTCTTTCAACGGCGATTATATAAAAAAAAAACTAATAATCAAACTGTATTTTCTTGTATTTTTTCTAACTCCTTGCATATTTTCTACACACCTTCATAATTTGATGTTTCTAAGTCTAACAGATTTTGATCTGCAAAGCAAAATGTATGTCTTACAGGAATTTGATTTTGTTGATGTGATCGAAGATTCGCCTCTCAAAAAGCGCCAAAAGTACTGTTACCTTAAATTTTCGATAAAAAATAATGTATATAAGTTTTTATAATTAATTTATATGTTTTTTACTCTTAAAATAAATAAAAAATTTTAAATTTTTCAAAAAAAATTTTTTTTTCTAAATTTACTCATAAAGGGCCCCTAGATAATGATAGGCCCAGGGCCCCTATAAACATAAAAACGGCTCTGGGTTAGAGTCTCCTTGCTATCAGGCTAACAGTATGAGGTTTTTCTCGACATGTAATGCAAATGTTCTACAAAAAATTCCTCCACAATAACTTTTGATTTAATGATTTTGATTTGATTTTCACATACACTATAAGTTATAATCGATCAAAGGACAAGTCGTAAATGCACCTTTAATACTAAAAGCAGAACTTAAAATAGAGAGAGTAATGTTTTTTCAATTTTTTAATTACTCTCCCTATTTTAAGTTCTGTTTTCAGTATTAAAGGCATATTTACGACATGTCCTTTGATTCTAACTTATAGTGTATGTGAAAATCAGATCAAAATCATCAAATAAAAGTTATTTAGTGTGGGATGGGTTATTTATTATTATTTTAAGAGTGTTTTAGATAGTTATTTGAATTCCTTGTTTGGTTCATTAATTAAATGGAATTTAAAGGGGTGCATTAATGCAGTGTCAGTAATCTATTTAAGTTTTGTGATTGAAAAGGCCAGTGAGATAAAATAAAGAAATTTAATTTTATTATATATTTATCATGGCACTAAAAAAATCAAACACATGATAAGACAAACAAGAGATCAGTTTGGCATTTATAAACATATATTTAGATATACAATATGCAGTTATAATAGTTATATAGTTTCATGCTTACATCAAATAACAAGTTTGTCGGGGGAAAAAACAACTAAATCAAAGATTACCATTTGGTTCTATATCTAAAGATTTATAAAATCTCTTTAATCCAATATTTTTTTAATAAATTTCTAATAAGTGAAATGAAATATCAAAAAGTAATTTTAAAAAAAAGTTTTTTTTTGTGAAAGAAATGTAATATTAAAATTGATTCTGTGTTAATTCAAAAAAAGATTAACACTATTTGAAAATACAACAGTTAATGATTAATGAATTTTATTTACTTTATCTTTAAGATTTGTAACAAATTAATATGTGTATCACTTACACTTACACGAAGGTGCTCCAAATGTCACTCCGCAGTAAAGTTAATTTGATTTACTTGTATTTAAGTACTATTAAGGGTAGGACAGTGATGTGGGAAAAAGTTTTCTCTAACATGCAAACAGACTATAAAATAATTCTCGAACGTACTCTATGAGAAAATTGAATAAGATTTTGCATAATGGTGTTATAAGATATTCGTTCAGGAACAGGGATTAAATGATTGTTCAAAATCTCACTGTTTAAATTTTTAAATGAAAATAAAAGTAAGAACGATAGTTCCAGCATGAAAAAAAAAGGTGGCGCTATGTAGAGATGGAGGAAAGTAGAGCACACTAATATGTATGTTGCATCTTGCTCTCTTCATCTGTGTCTACCGTCGCCATTATTCGTTCAAAAAATAATGTCCCAATTTCATAATTTTTTTTACTGTAACGATCATGCTTCGATAAGAAAACGTAGAAATATACCGATACAACAAAGAATTTATAAATCATTGTTCATGAATTTCTTGTCAAAAAAGTAAAATTATAATTTTTTTTTGAAATTTGCAAAGTTTGATAACCACACACGATTTTGATTTTTTTTTAAAATAATAATAACCTGTGATATATGTATATTCCATTACTGTCTAATTATCATCATCGCTTTTAGTAGTTTTAATTGAAAAGTATGTTATTAAGTTCGTAATAAACCTTTATTAATGAATGCTAAAAAACAAATAATGATAAAAATTCAAACATGAATAAATTTTGAAACTTGAAAAGAATTTAATTTTACTTACTTAAAAAACATTGACATTTATGTTATTTAAGCATGATGCAAAATTTAGTTTAAATTGTGTCATAGAGATCATATAAAAAATATATTGCGATGTTAATTAAATAGTCATGATTTAAGTTAAAATGATTAATATAAAATATTTCAAGTCACTTTAATTGCATCAATAAATCAGTTTTTTAATTAAAGAGTCCAAAAACTGCTCATCTCCATACAAAATAAACTGGAGACAATCTGTAGTCAATTTCAATTCATTTAATTTTAAGTATTTTAATTTTAGAATTTAGAGTGAATTCGCCGTAATAAAAATTCAAATTATAAAAAATTTAATTTTATAATATGGATGAAATTCATAGTTAAAAGGTTGATGATTTCGCGATATGGCACACTGCAAAAAAATTTTGGATCAAATTACGGTATAAAGTACCAGCACTTTGGGTGCATCATCCGTAAAATCCATTTTACAGTAAGATATTACCGTAAGATGTAAGATTACCGTTAATTATTACTGTAAAAATTACGGTATATCAGAATTTTTGGTAACATGTTCTTTTAAAAATGGGTTTTACGATCCAGCAGCCTGAGTGTCAGTACTTTTTACCGTAATTTGATTCGGAATTTTTTATAGTGCAAATCTAAATTTGAAAAGAAAATTTGTTTAATTCTGAGAAAAAGAAATGCAAATGTGTTATATATAACATCTATCCAAGTCAAAAAGTTTCAAATTAAACTTTTAAGATTCGCACGACAATTTCACAAGAGCTTTTAAAGTTTATTTGGGCCAATTAACATTAATTTCGTTACAAAAATTTCTGATATTAAAAACAGAAATACAGTATTGGAAGATATAATGGCAATACATTATACACGTGTTAGAATTTCCAAATTCTGATTGGTCTAACACTACAATGTTAACACTTACGATAACGTTGGCACATTTATTAAAGCAACTATTATGCATTTTAAATTAAATTATGAAACAAATAAATCCACAGAATTATTTGTGCTTAACATATAATACATTAGATTTTTTTCTTTTTAATATTTCATTTCTTAATAATGCTACTAGAAATTATTCAGAACAACTAGCATTACATCCTGGCTGCTATTTTGCAGACTAGGAGCAACCAGATGAAGTGATATGATACAATAGTTCTATGATACTAATAATTAAAACAGAATTAATTATCAGCTTAATTATTAGTATCTATAATTCTTGCTCATGATATTGCAACTTCATTTCCATAATTCACAATCTATTACTAATATACACAAATATCGTATACATAACATATGGCGATGCACGAAGAAAAACTAATGTCTATATAGAGTTTATCTATATGCAGTTTTGTTCAAAGTACATCTTTTGTTTATGGTATGGGTTTTAAGTATAGAATACTTTAACCTCATAACACTAAAGTACATAGTACTTTAGCACACTAAAGCATTTATGTTTTTCTAGGTACTTATTTTTCTTATAAGAGTTGCACGTCATTTACATTTTTTTCCGTATTATAAAGTTGGATTAGCACAATTTTTGCTAGTATATTTCCATTTAGCCAACAAGTAGATATTTCACTAATAAAATCTGTAGACAATCTGTAGATAATCAAGTTTGTAGACGACTTGCATATTTAATCTTCCATTCTATAATTTTAATATTTATTTGCTAGACTATTTTGATAAAGTTTTTCACTCAACTTTCTCAGACGAAGATTAAGATCAAATTTTTAACCGTCTTTAGTTTTTCAACTCCTCATGAAAATTTCCTTAACGGTGGTTTATACAATTATGAAATTCGTTCCACGTTTTTAGGAAATATTCTTCATATCTTTAAGTCTATTATTTTCGAGGCTTTTAGACTAATTTGTAGTTTAATATATCCAGTTCGAATTAAAAGGAAATTGCTTGACAATATGATTTCCTCTTCTGCAAAATCCACAGATCTCTTGACCATTTTACAGAAAGTTTCAAAAGTTTGTCCACTTTCTGACCAGAACAAATTTTATTTATTTGAAACACACAAGTGCAAATGAGAACTTTGGTGAAGGACTCTTTATGGAAAATAAATAACATTTCTAGTTATTAAATAAGACGCAAAAAGTAAACAAAGAAACACTGAATTTACACACTGGGCGATAAAATGACTTATTATGTATAAATCTGACGTATATCCATGGTATTTGTGTCCGAAAAAACATAGTTTTAGCAGGAAACAAACTTTTTAATTCGCTAATCACTTTTCAGTATTGTGCTAAAAGGATTTTTGCCTTTTCTTGGGGGGTGCCTAGGAGTAGCTCCTTTGTAATCTGCAAGAAAGTAGGAAATTTTAGTGATAAATAACTTAACAATCCAAAGCATTTAAATATATACATATATATACATATTATTTTATAAACTATCTAAAGAAAAAAGCTTTTTCTCTTATAAACAATTTATAAATTTGGCAAACTTAATTATGAGGAATATTCTTATACATGCATACACTATCAACCAATAAGTATTTGGACACGTGTGATTGAAAAAAAAACTTTATTCATAATCAATAGTTGGTAGAGCCTCCACGTGATGCAATTACAGCGTGAACCCTCCGGTGCATACTTTCCACAAGTCCTTGAGTGACGGCTAGTGGTATTTTCTTCCACTCGGCTTGGAGAAGACATGTAAGTTCCTTCACCAATTTTGGACGGGTAGTACACCCCTTAATTCGGCGATTCAACTCGTCCCAGAGGTTCTCGATAGGGTTCAGGTCTGAGCTCTGGGCAGGTCAGTCCATTCGATTGACCGCATTGGCACCATACCAAGCCTTGGTGACCCTCGCAACGTGACAGCTGGCACTGTTGTCCTGGAAATAACAGGGGTCCACCCCGTGAAACTGCCACAACGTAGGAAGCACATTGTCATCCAAAATAGTGTAGTAGGCATCGGCGTTGAGCTTACCATGAATGGGGACCAAGGGTCCCAATTCATACCAGGAGAAACACCACCAGATCATAATTCCACCTCCGCCGACATATAGTCATTTGCATAGGTGTCCAAATACTTATTGGTAGATAGTGTATAAATGAGACAGGTTTATGTTATGATGAAAACGAAAAAATGAATAGAGTCTTGATAATAAAATATTATTTAACTACAAAAGGTGAGTTTTAAGTTTTGCTCATCTAAGCTTAACATTTATTGAAAACGCATTGAATTTCAATTTCCTCCTTGTAGATGGTAAGGTAGATAGAAATGAAACTTGCTGAATTTCGATTTCGATTGGCAGATGGTAAGGCAGATAGCAATCAAACGCATTGAATTTTGATTTCGTCATGGTAAATGGTAAGGGCAGATTATAATCAAACGCATTGAATATCGATTTGTTCCTGAGAAATATTTATGCAGATAGCAATCAAATGCATTGAATTTCGATTTCCTCTTAATAAATAGTATGGCAGATAGCTATCAAACGCATTGAATCAGATTTCCTCAAGGTAGACGGCACTCTGATTTCACTGTATTTCATTCATCGGTCGATGATCTCATGCTCAGAAACTTCATTAGTGATGCGTTTGATGTTCAAAGAGACAACTAATTGTTTTGATAGAAACAAACAACGAATGTTTATTTTGGAATGTTATTGTGCTCTGAAAATCATTCTTTCACGTCATTGAAGTTTGTAGCTGACTCAATTGGTCAAATCGATCTGTAGCTTACAAGAAAATAATCTGTATGCCCTTCATTTTAGAGGTTGAAATATTAAGGGAAGTTGAAACTAAATTTCAACCTTTCAGACTAAAAGCAAACAAATAAAAAGGAAACTGCTGAGATGAAAATGAAGATCACGATAACTATTTGCATTTCTAATATCAATACGGCAAAGCTTCGCAAAGTCTTCCAAGGTCTGGTAAAACGAGTAAACTAAACTACTATAAACTGAATAAACTAAAGAACGTGAAAAAAAAAGTGTAAAAAATTCCACATTTGAGTTTTTTTCACGTTGTTTAGCTTCATATGTTAGCATGAAGTTAATCCTTTCTTCACTAGCAGGCTTTGGTATCCGGAAAAAGGAACGTCATTTCCAACATTTACTGAAACAACATAAAATTTGTCTGCGTTAAAATAAGCCAACATTTTAATTTATTTCTGTAATGCTTTAATTTTATTTAAATCCTCAATCTGAATTTTGGTCAGCATGACTTTGAACTAACCTTTTGTTATGATATGTAGTGCATTTCATAGTCCCTGTTTCAAGCATATTTTTTAAATCCTTGTTAAAAATAAATAGACATTAAGAGGTAACAAATTCATATATCAGTGAGAGAAACAAAAAGAATTATCAAAGTCTGACGCACATTATCGTGATCGACTGCAGCAATAGTGATGTTATAACCAAAACCCAGATTATTTGTGGGATAAAACATATCACCTCTACATATAAACTGGTTAGTTAACTTTTTCAACCGAAAAGCCTCACAGCAGTCTACATAAACAAACGACTTCTGAAAGCTAAGCGCTTAGTTAGTAATCTGATTCTGATGATAATTTTGTTTAGTTATTGTATAAAAATAATAAAGAAAAATGATTATAATGAATGACTGTAGTAAAGCTTAGTTACTACAGTCAAATGTTCGTACCGTAGTAAAGCATGATTACTACAGTCTAATGTTCGAATGATGTTTACAATTTTAAATCATTAGTCATCAAAGGTTCTATTTGAAGTGAAATTCCTTTAATATAATAATCCTCCATTATTATTAATCTAATAATAAGAGAGGCTATAATATTACCTCTGGTAATGCTGGTGCAGGCAAGCCATTCATCCATGGTTATTTTCTGGTTGTCATTCTCGTCGCAGAAACGAGGAAGATTTCTCCAGCATTTCCTGAGGCGCTTCTTCTGTTTGCTGTCCTTCTGGAATGACCGCCACTCTTTCTTGAAAATTTTCCACTCTCTCTTGTCCAGCACCTAATGACAGATCAGGTCAAAAAAATTCTTCTTCTTCAAACACAAGAACTTAGTTCATTAATAATGTGTCTAGATTTTAAAATATTTTGTGTGTATCTCGCAAGTATGTATTTCCAATAATCGTACGGAGTTGCACTAGGTCAATTAAAAATTTGTCTAGATTTTAAAATATTTTGTGTGTATCTTGCAAGTGTGCATTTCCAATAATCGTACGAAGTTGCACTAGGTCAATTAATAATTTGTCTAGGTTTTAAAATATTTTGTGTGTATCTTGCAAGTGTGCATTTCCAATAATCGTACGGAGTTGCACTAGGTCAATTAATAATTTGTCTATATTTTAAAATATTTTGTGTGTATCTTGCAAGTATGTATTTCCAATAATCGTACGGAGTTGCACTAGGTCAATTAATAATTTGTCTAGATTTAAAAATATTTTGTGCGTATCTTGCAAGTATGCATTTCCAATAATCGTACAGAGTTGCACTAGGTCAATTAATAATTTGTCTAGATTTTAAAATATTTTGTGCGTATCTTGCAAGTATGTATTTCCAATAATCGTACGGAGTTGCACTAGGTCAATTAATAATTTGTTTAGATTTTAAAATATTTTGAGCGTATCTTGCAAGTATGTATTTCCAATAATCGTACGGAGTTGCACTAGGTCAATTAATAATTTTTTCTAGATTTTAAAATATTTTGTGTGTATCTTGCAAGTATGTATTTCCAATAATCGTACGGAGTTGCACTAGGTCAATTAATAATTTGTCTAGATTTTAAAATATTTTGTGTGCATCTTGCAAGTATGCATTTCCAATAATCGTACGAAGTTGCTCAGTTTTGAAAAAATTGTTAATTGATTATTGAATTCGAAGCATCTGTATATCCCTAAAACTCTACCAGGATTATTTTACACTGAACATGTTCTCGATGTCATCGACGTGATCCGATTTTGTTAATTGATAAAAAATTACCTGTTCCCCTATCTAATTTAATAAACATATCTATTTGACGATATTTAAAATTTAAAGCTTTTTTCTCTGATTTTTTTTCCGTCTCTTTGATGCAGACTTTTTATTAAACATATTTTTCATACTTCGTTCATTTTGTTCAATAATTTAAGTCGAAATAAATGAAAAATATTATATTTATCATTTTAGTCATTTATGGTTAGGAAATATAGCATGAAACACCGGCGTCTTTTTTCTGGGTTAATGGTAAAATCTTCCAAACACTGCTCACTTCCAAACAATAATGTCTAAAATTTACACTTTTCTAAATCTAAGATAAACAGTTACTCATCACTTAAACTTCTTTGATTTACAAAATAAATTATCGATAAAATTTTAAATATAAATAAAAAATAATAATTTCTTTATTTTTTTAATTATTTTTTTGCATTTTATGTTTTAGTACAAATCTAAAATTTTATAATCTAACAGATTTTTTAGATTGTTCTTTATAATTAAAAAATACCCAAACATAATTTTGCATGTAATTAGAGCGCCAGAAAAGAATATATAAAAGGGACACCGGTTTCCCATATGCCTCAAAGGGTTAAAATGAGAGTAATGTATAAAATGTTAGCCACCTAAGAATTAATGTTCTAAAGATAAGAGTTTTAATACTTTTAATGTTCTAAAGATAAGAGTTAATTAGTTAGAAATAAATGAAGTGCTTGTACACAGTTCAGATAAATTCCACCTTCACGCAAACTGGACATTTCCTAAAAATTTAGAATTAAAGAATAATTCTTTGAATAACAACAGTACAGCGCTATAAAAGTATCTAGAAATGAAAAGACAATCAATTTCTATTTCTATTATATTAATGGATTTTGAAGTTAAGTATCACTTTAATCAGTGTAATTTTAATTTTATCTAATATTTTATATAAATATTTAAGTTTTTAAAAAATTAGGCAATTAAGAACTTTTTAATACTTAATTGTTTTATTTGTTAGGAATTATAAATTTAAATAGTGTTTTTACCGAGTATTATTTATTCAATTTAACTAATTTTATAATGTATGAAAATAAATATATTTTTTATCCTTCTAATATGCTCTTACATATCTTTAATTTTAAATAAATGAAGTGCATTGTTTATTTAAAAGTACAAGGTGAGTGAAATTATTTATAATTTCATTAACCGTTTATTTAATGGTGTCGCTTATTTAATGGTAAATGTGTTAATCTAATAAACCATTAATAATAAATAAACCATTTCGAATACGAGTAGATTAATGCTAAAATAACAAATATGAGGAGATAAAATACATTGGCGTATAAAAAACTGATGCGAAGCACATGGATATTTATTATAACACCATATTTAAATAAAATAAAAAGGAGTTCTTTCTCATCAGGTAGTTAAAAATGACATCAAGAAATATAACATGCAGCGAAGATTGTTTTTAATGTCACTTGTTAATCTGAGTTTGATTGTTTTGACAACTTGGCCATTTTTATAAACAACGACAATATTGTAAGGAAAAGTGCTGATTTTTTTTCCGACCCCCCCCCCTTTGCTTCCTCTCTCCCCTATCCTTATAGTTTCTTTGTCCTTTTATCACTCCTGTGTTGATTCAACTTTTCTCTCATTCATTCTCATACCATTCAGCTTATTATCATAATCATAATTTTAATCATAATTATCATTATCATAATTTTTAACTGCCTGATGAAGGAAAGCTCATTCTTTGAGAAACGTGTTGCAGTAATATGCTTTAAAGGGTGCCTTGAAAATTTTTATAATTATTCATTGGAAAAAATACAATTTTGTTTCTTACCGAGTTGTTGTTTACATCGATGGAAGCAAACTTCCATCTTGCACCTTTTTCAGGAGTGGGTGTATCAATACTGAAAAAAATGAAACAAACAAAGAAGTTTTAGGCTTAAGGATATAATTTCATTAAAAAAAAATTACAAATGATTTGACGAGAAATTAAAAACCTTAAGACATTTATATCACTGAAAACTTAATAAAATTATTTATATGAATTAAATTTAAAGGTTAAATTTCTGTTTCATAAAATAGAGTAAACATTACGTATTTCAGAGGTTAAATATTTTGGAATGTAGAACGTTTTATTACTATTATTATTGGGCATATAGTGACAGTTTATTGAGCAAAGAGTTATCAAAAAGTCAATGTTTATAATTAATCTTAAAATATAAAGGCAATTTTTAAAAAAAAATCTGTGCAATGGTGTACTTTTTCAACTGTTAAATTTTGTAACTTAGATTTGTTTTGTTAAATTATAGAAACAAAATATATTAAAAATATGTTGTTTTTAAAACAAAATTTCACAACGATGCGCCCTTTTCTTTTATAATTATAATATATAATGATAGATTCTCTACATTTTAGAAAGAATTTCCCTTTGAATCATGTGAGGAATAGTACTTTTCCCTACGAATTCTAGCTGGAATGCACTATTAAACACTGTAAGAAATTTCTCAGAACAAAATGGTTAAATAACAATTTATTTAATTGCTATTTTACCGTATTCAAACAAAACAGTCAACCATGAAAAAAAAAACGGTATTCAAACGGTTAATTGTTTGAAAAATGTTTATTAACTGTCTTCACCTAATACAGTTAAACAACCAGAATTTTATCGCACTAACTAGACACTTAATGAAGTCACTTAGCTCCCTGCTAATGGGTGCGTATTATAGCCGAGTGGATTAATCTGTGAATCTCATGACCACTAGAACGTGGCTCAAATACCAGCGTTGACACCACAATATTTCCTCCATTCCTTGCACTCCCCAATTTGTGACCCTAGGCTGTTAGAATACGATATTCTCATTCACGTATAGATAACAGCACTATAAAGCTGCTAAACTATCTCCAATGTCCTGTTTTACTTCTTTTTTAGGGTTTTGAAACCATGCTAGTTGTAAACGGTTAAAAACCATCTAATTTTGTATTCAGGGTTTTTTAACCATACTAGTTGTAAACGGTTTTAAGGTAGAAAATGTTCTTGACCATAAACTTTATGGTTAATTGGATGGACAGACTGCTGCCGGTTATTTTATTATATAATATTAGAAGGAAAATTTTAATAGTGTAGTATTTTTCCGACAAGTTCTAGCTGGAATGCACTATTAAACCACCACAAATTTTGAAGCCTTATGTATTCTACAATTGTAAAATTTCAGTGAAACTTTAATATGGTGATAAATTGAACCACATACTAAAGCAAATTAGGCCATTTTAAACTTGATTTGATGCTATGGTACAATTTAATATTACGTATGGGTTATATATACTGATAATATGGTTCAACGCCGAACGTATTTTTGAGGTTGTAGAAATTTTTTAGTTATCTGTCCTTCTCTTTAATTGAAATATCTCTTTCATTTCGATATGTGAGTATAGAAATATTTTTTTTTTTAAAGTTCCAACACAATAAATACTTTGTAATAAATGGATATAAGAAACAAAACACAATCCTACCTCAGTGACTTGTTAGCAGCATCCTCTTGCATTTCTTTTATAAAAGATTGAACCAGTTCGTCCAGAAATTCTTGTTTCTTATGAACTGGGCATCCTAAAACAAAATGATAAAAACGAAATGTATATATGTACGGAGTTGCACTAGGTCAATTAAAAATTTGTCTAGATTTTAAAATATTTTGTGTGTATCTTGCAAGTNGAATAAAACAAAGAAAAATTATAGACATATGAGAAGAAAAAAAAAAGGGGGGGGGGGAATGATAAGTTAAAAAATAACAAACAACAGTTTATAAAATATAAAAAAAATAAAAAATTTCTTTTTTTTTTCTTCTTTTTTTTTCTCCTTACGCTATGGGCGGTTACCTATTATGACCTGTTAGAAGCACACGAAGAAACATTTCTTAATAGGATAATAGGAAAGCGTCCCTAGCGGCCTACGACGACATTTCTGGACATGGGTTCCCATGCCATTTTAATCTTGATGATGTGCTCTAACTTCCGTTGAAAACTATTGCAACAATTACGTTACCCCCTGTTATGTATAACGTTTTTAAGCTTGTACATTTCGAGAAAAATTAAACTATAAATGACATTTAAAAAATTTTAACTTTTGGACTATTACTAATTTTAGATTTGAAATCCCATCGAGCATTCATATAAATGCAACAAAAAATTTTCTCCCCTACGATGTTTTTACATATTTTTCTATACATTTTTTAAATTTATTCTATGGATTTATGCATTTTATTTAATAATTAACACATTTCAAATGTTATTACGATTTTATTTCATGTAGGGTAGAGAATTTTATTTAATGCAGGGTATTTCATAGGTTCTTCTAATCAACTGATATATTTTTTTAAACAATTTGTAAAAGCTAGTATAAGTTATTATATATATCTATGAAAGTGTATTTTTCAGGAGAAAAAACACTTTAATACAGATAGTGGAATAAAAGTCAATTGTAAAATAATGTGATAATAACAATATTAAAATTTTCTGTTAAAAACAATGTGCAAAAGAAAATAATAATGTCGCTGTAGATGGCTTTTATCAAAATATATTCTAATAATACTTCTTACATTATATACGTTAATTTCATTATAGATAGCATGTGAAAAGTAACTCTTTTTATAAAACTATGAGCTGCTGTCATTAGTACTATCTGCAGTTTTTAATTTCATTGGTAAACTAATTTTAATTTAGGTTCTAAATAACACTCTTTGTGAACTAAAAAAAAAGCTTTAAAAGTATTTGTATGTCCATCAATTTATTAAACTTTAATAACTAACATTGATGAAATCATATGAAATACACTTATTAATAATTATGGAAGTATGCATACTTTTAGGAAATGTGTATTTTGTAATTTAAACGTATACCCTAACGAAGTTCGTGAAAACAAACCGGCACTCAGGGTGTCTGTACTTTTTATCGCAAAATCCATTTTTGCCGGAACATGCCACAGAACAAAAAAATTTTTATGCCGTAATTTTTACGGTAATAATTTCCATAAAATCACTGAATCACTTTAAATAAATATTACTGTGAAAATTACGGTATAATATTTTACTCTAAAAATGGATTTTACGGATGGGGTTCCCAAAGTACTTCATATCGTAATTTGATCTAGAATTTTTTACAGTGGCTAATATTCTATACATAATTGGTTATAGTCTATTCGGAAAATGTCAATATAAATAATAACCAAGGTCAAGTTCATAAATCTGTAGATGAAAAAGCTAGTCAAAACAAGCGAGACAAATTACCGTTTTTTATCATTTATTTTTAATTTTTTTTATTATATATAGACATGCCCATAACAAAAATGTGAAAAGGAACGAGAATGTTAATCTTTTCAAACTTAAAGATCAAACAGAACAAAAAGATTGTAATACCCTGTGTTATCTACTGTTTCAAATTTTGCGACAGGTTTTTCCGCTGCATTTAATGAAATTTATGACTTAATTCTTTATGCTAAGCGGCAGTAATTAGTAAACTGTCATCAAGGTCATGGCTCTAAATATAACTATAAATATTGCATTTCAAAAATTAATTTATCATCCCTTGCCATCAGAGGTATTCATTTTTAAATACAATTAAAAGCTATTAATTTTCATTACCCCATAATTATATCAGCGTGCGCTTTATATTTAAATTTATTTCTCAATCAGAGTTATAAATTATGAATATAATTTTCTCTCAATTTCGGATTTACAAGCTATTTCTTTCATTTGTTTTCTAACTATTTTTTTTCAAGCAATGCTAGAGTGGCGTCATTATCCAGACAGAAAAGTTAAGCAGTTCCATCGGTAAAGCAATGACAATCATTATTATTTTTGTTTATATTTATTTCTGTCCCAACAAATGTTATATCTTTCGCCTGCAATATTTGTAGCTATTTTCTAACGGTAGACAATATGCATATAATTTTCTCTCAATTTCGGATTTACAAGCTATTTCTTTAATTTGTTTTCTAACTATTTTTTTCAAGCAATGCTAGAGTGGTGCCATTATCCAGACAGAAGAGTTAAGCAGTTCCATCGGTAAAGCAATTACAATCAATATTATTCTTGTTTATATTTAATTCTGTTCCAACAAATGTTATATCTTTCGCCTGCAATATTTGTAGCCATTTTCGGACGGTAGACAATATGCATATAATTTTCTCTCAATTTCAGACTTACAAACTACTTCTTTAATTTGTTTTCTAACTATTTTTTTCCAAGCAATGTTAGAGTGGCGTCATTTTCCAGACAGAAGAGTTAAACAGTTCCATCGGTAAAGCAATTACAATCATTATTATTTTTGTTTATATTTATTTCTGTCCCAACAAATGTTATATCTTTCACCTACAGTATTTGCAGCTATTTTCGAACGGTAGACTATATGCTATTATTCAAAGATTTTTCATTGAATTTATTTGTATTTCAGAACTTGGCGAAATAATTATGTTACAATATAAAAAACCGTTGACTTTGTTGTATTATCTTAATATTATATTCCGAAATTATACTTTTTCTTAAACAAATACACACTACAAATAAATGAAATAAATAGTGAAAATCACAACTATACACGGACTTTTTTTTTAATTTTATGTATATAAACGAGTCTATGTCAAATAATTAGTTAATATTGATTTTCACAAAGTAGTTGCAAATCTTAATGGTTCAAAGTGTTTATTCTGATATATTCTCGTGTTTATTCTTAGCGTCAAAGTGTTTATTCTTAGCACTGACTATTATTAAGCTGCAAAACATAAAGTTACATAAAGTAGTCTACATAAAGATACTTCTTTTTCGGCATTTTTGTATTCTTGTCCATCAAATTAGCCGTAACCGTAAGGTAGCCGTAATCTGGAAAATGTGGTCCCGATAGTTTAGCAGTAGAGAAGTCGGTGATCGTAAGTTTGGAACGCTTTTTGTTAATTTTATTATTTGCATATTTTTAAGCAAATATTATTTGCATATTTTTAAGCAAATATTATTTGCATATTTTTAAAAATTTTTAAGCAAATTTGTGCACACAGTCTTAAAATTCGTTTAAACACAGGTGAGATAATTCCCCGCCAAAAATAACTTATAATAATTATTTATTTTATTTCATTAGTTTTTTTATTTATATTATGTATTTCTTTTCAGTCTTTTTTTTAATGCAAAAATCGTACATTAAACTAACTTTGAACTTTCATCGAAAATTTTTCTGGTCATCGACATAGTGTTTTTTAAATTTTTTTTTAATCAATAATTCTCTCAAAAATGTGTTAAAACAAATACATTTAAATTGCCAAGAAATCTTAAAAATCTTGCAAATGTTACTTGTCATTGTCTCTTAATAAGCTCTTCAATTTACATTAAACATAATTAGACTGTATCATTCATATAAATAACTCTTGGTATTTCCGATCAGAATAAATTCTTACATTTATGAACTTTTTTAAAATATATAAATACTTATTTAAATACACTAGTTTAAATTTAATCTTCAATAAAATTTTTAGTAATTGTTTAACTGAAAAATTTTCCCCCTAAATTTAAATTCAATGATTTAAAAAATAAGAAATTAATCATGGTAATTAGTTTTACAATTTAATGACTCACAATTTTTTTACTCCAGGAACTTGTGGGTCTCTTATTGGTTTATTCGGTATATTTGTCATCTTTTTATGAGTTTTGGGAATGAACAATAAATAATGCTAAAGTAAATAAAAGTGTTTAGTATCTTTTTAAATTCATTATAATTTTTATACTCTGTTTTTGCTGAATATAATTATTATAAAACAACACGTTAATTAAGAAATTCATCTGAGAATAGAGTATGTATTACCCAATAGCAAAACTATTGACAATGATGGTATGAAGTGATATCTATTAATGATAAATATGACAAACTAATTTTTGAACTTTAATAATGACAAAAAAAAAAAAAAAAAAAAAAAAAAAAAAAAAAAAAAAAAAAANAAAAAAAAAAAAAAAAAAAAAAAAAAAAAAAAAAAAAACATTGGTCACCAACGCACTTTAATTTAAAACATGTTAACATCTATATAGTCAGTAAAGCTAATAATAAAAAACAACTAGTTTAGTTATGACACTAAACTCAAGTAATGTCAATGTGTTTAAAAAAAAATACTATACTAGACACCCCCCTCCCTGAAATAACTTTAAATATAGCATTTAACACAGTTAAATTTATTACATCAACACTATTTACTGTTCAACCATACTATCCCAGTAAAATAACACTTCCAGTAAGATAAAATTTTTGAAAATAATTTGAGCAAATTTTATTTTTCAATTTTTTCCCCATCAATTAAGCGCGAATGTTGGAAAATAGCAAAGCTAAAAAATTGCCAAGTTATGGCTCTAGCTTAAAACCATAAAGAATAATAACAAGAAAACGAAATTCCATAAATGTTTTTGTAAGGAGCTAACAGGCACATTTGAAGAAAAAAAATAATAATAAAGAGTCATTTATTTTTAATTCCTTAAAGCAAGAAGACATGGAAGCTAAACAGCGATCGAAATTCCATCATCACGGACATCGCCTGCCCCTTTAGGCGCCACTGTCTAACAGGCTTGTCATGCAATCATA